GAATAGGCATTCATTTGGTATTAAGGAGGATGATATGGAAACATATAGGCAGTTTCTCCTCCATTGTTTAGCATTCGCAAGGCTGAGGATAAAACAACTCGGCAGTCTTATCTTCGGCAAACCATTGCACAAAGCCGAAACTGACATTGCCCATCTCAAGAAATCTGTGATAGGCACGAAGCGCTTGTCGATTTGTAAAGGTCTTATAATCTATTATATGTATAATATACAGAAGTTTCAGGTAATACAATGGACAGGCGTTCAAAGCCGTTCAAGTGAGATCCCTGTAAATGTCGGCTTCTTAACCTAACCTAACCTAACTCTGCAGTAATAATAGAAATCAGAAGAAAAAATAAATAAATTTAGTAAGCTAAATAGTATTATACGCCATATGAAACGCTTTTGAGCGTTGTTTGTTATCAAATATGTTGCCCATTTCGCTACTACCTCTTTTCCAAGTTCACCGGTAAAACTATCTGCTCCATAAAAGAACAATCTTTGTTGTAGTGGTTACATATCACCAACCCATAGAGTCCCATAAACTGTCACCAGTTGAACAGATAAATAGTTCGCTTGTAATACCCTGAAATGGTAAAATGAAAATAGAGCGGAAAATGCAAATAAAACTACAAAATTCGTAAAGTGGCCCATCTTTGTGGCATGTCGGTGATAGTACAAAAGCATGCCGAAATGTGGAAGCAAGTGTAGGAGGCAGAAAACACTAAAACAATCACCGTATAACACATTAAGCTAACCGCTTGCATGTATGCCTGTAATGTTGATTGGTATGCAACGGTACACAAATACATACTTGTATATGCACACTTAAATATCTTCACAGAATTACGTTCGTGACACCAGCAAGGAGAGCAGTTCAACCACAACCAATATTCCTGAGCATGCACAACACCCACACATATCACGTGCATGCATTTATGTGTCTGCATTAACATGGCATCTTTGCTTAACCGAAGAATTCTCGTTTTGCTATCCAACAGTTGTGGTAAACAAAATTTCCATTACGATTTGAACCGCATTAACCCTTGAGTGAATGCATGCGGCAGTGCGTGCTGGCAATATAGTAGCAGAATGCAGGGCTGGTAGAAAATAGTTGGAAGGAGTAGTAATGAATGCAAAGCTAAGGCAAAATTGGTGGATTATCATTGAAAATTTCGTTTCACAGCGAAATGTGATAAAAGCTTTGTAGGATGATGCGAAAATCTTTAGCACAGATTTAGGCAGCCACAAAAGTATTTTTATTATTTAAATCACTCACAAAAATAGTTAATTGTTAAAAAGCGAATGCCTTAGCCAAATAATTATAATTAAAATGAACATAAACAGTATAGGTATGGTGTTTGTCAAAAGTATAATAATTGGCTTGTTCTTGCAACAAGACACACGTTTGGCTATTAATCTTTACACTTATTTTCAATCTTTACAGGTATGTGCATCTTTTGGAAGCTGATGCACTGTGAAGTGTTTTGAGCTGAGCGTAGGGCAAACGGGATGTTATGGCAATATTCTAATAATATGCGGATATAACGAAAACATAATTTTTTTTAATTGCTATTTTATATCTGTTTTTTTTTTTTTTTAATTATATAGAGTTAAGTCATAATAATAAAATTATTATAAAACGTGTTTCGAAAATTGGAAAAGTTTAAGTGGTTTTGCAAGTCTTAAATTACAAAACAAAAAAACGGCTACTTTCGTTTTAAAGTACACTTTGGAAAAGTGAAAACATTATTCGATTGGCAGAATAGTGAAAAAAAGTTTTCACTTACAGCGCGCGGTAATTTCGAAGTGTTCGAGTCGGGCAACTTCAACAATTTTCAAATCGGGCGTTCATAGCTCACATAGAACAACACATGCGACCACTTGAAATTATAAAATAATTTTTAAAAAACAATTTGCTACTCATGTTTTCGGTCACTTATTATTTATTAATCAATTTTATTTTATATATACTGATCAGATGAAAAAAATACTGCACGTTTTGTACTTGTCTAGAACTTGGGACCTCCCTAATATTGTACAGTTGGAAATGTTACAACTGGCTAAATTCCTCAAGTAGCTTTGTCACATTCCTCTGCCACATTCCAAGCATTCCGATCCAAACACACACCTTTATCCCAACTATTGCATGACAAAATTCAAGCGTTTCCTAAGCTCGGTGTTCTATTAGTAAAAACTTCATATGCATCAGAAATTCTTGTAAATAATCACATACTTAAGTGTAATTCGAAAAAATAGAATAAATACAAACTAAAATAAAATAATATATAACGAGTTTTTTTTTTAACTTTCCTTTAAAATAAAAAGGGCTAATTCAGTTTCAGCCACTTCCATCGATTATGAATGTAACTTTATTGTACTTAACAGCCTAATTGTATGCTACAATTTTTCATATGAGCAATATATAATTTTTAGCCAAATTTTCAACATATGTATTTCGTTTTCCTTTTAGTGACAAATGTAAAGCAAATAAAAATCGCAATAAAATTTAAGGTAACTTAAGATCACACTAACGAGTATACTTCATTAATGAAAATAAATACATTCAAAGCTTAGATATAATATATATATGTATTTATAGCTACATATAGCATATAGGTATATGAGTGATAACATACCGAAGTACTTTGTGTGAGCAGGTGTTGAATATGCTCTAACTCATATCATTGCATAAGGATCATCGTAAGGAAATAGAGGCGTCATGTCTTAAATAACTGCAGCTTAAACAGTCTTACTTTGATTTCCTTTTTATGGTACGCTGCGAATTCAACCATGTGTACTCGAAGGTAGTTAGCGTCACGCATGTTGGCAATTGCGTACACAGCGCTTACTTGATGCTACAACCGGGATTGTATGCTACCGCGAAGTCGCAGCATAGAACTGAAGTCAAATTGGTTTGTTCATTCATGACTGTAGATTCTCGCTGAGATTTTGCTTCAGGTAATTCAGTAATTTTTGAGCGTTAACAAAAGGTAAGGTGAGGGTGAAAATGGCAGGCTTACAAGTTCCACACTTTTTGGTATGTGTATTTGTTTGTATGTGAATATAAATGTGGGTTTATATGTCTGCTTTACTGAAGTGCTGTTCAGTTTGAGTTTTTCGCACCTTTACTCCACCTTCCGGTAGGGCGCCATTCATTAAATTTTCTTTTTATTTCTATCTCTTCACCATCATCATGTCACATTCGGGTTGTGAAGATTTTCAATCAACTCAAGAGTATCCAACACATGCGTTGTATTTAAAAGCTTTCTATAGAGGGGAAGTTTTTTCGTTAGTTCACGGTGTGTATTTTAAGTGGCTGTGTAGGAGGAAAGTGATTTTTGCAGAATATAATAAAAAATGTAGCGTAAATTTTGTAAAGAAATATTAAAAAGTTGCGGTGTCTAAATATGGCCGGTAAGTTATTTATAGCAGTAATACTAGCAGTATTACTTATTAACAGTAGAAGATTGGGGTTTCAATACTTATACTAATCTCTACATAGATTTAAAATTAATATATACTTCACTTAGAAAAAAAATAAAATATATTTGGTGAAACAAAATGATAAAATGACTTATAAACAGAATTCTAATATCTAATATAGAAATTATTACATAAATAGTTATATAAAGTTAAAAATTAAATTTTACTTATTTTGGAAAAAAAAATTTGAATATTATTATTTCTTTTATATATTAACTAAAACTCAAAAATTACTAATATTTTCTGCTTCGAATTTTTTTAATTTTTACTTTATATTATAATATTAATATAACTTGGAGAGGCAACATCTGTATAGCTCACATCAAATTTATTTCCTCTAACAATTTTTATACCCTGAACAGGATATATTAAGTTCACCACATTGTTTGTAACACCCAAAACGTAATGTTGACTTTAATTGAATATATACTACATAAATTATTTTCCTTAAACCAACGGGTTTGATCCTTGCCAGTTGCAAGAGTATAAAATTTTTGGTTACACCTGAACTTAGCCCTTCCTTAAGGGTTTTTTTTATAGTTATTAATCCTATTTTACAACTATTTAGAATGAAACGTAAATTAAACGAGTAGACTGTGTTTTTCTATAGCAACTGGCATTTCTGTTTCTGTATAAGCTATAAATTTTGCATCTTTTAATTGAGCTAAAATTCGCTGAAAGTGTAATTTTTATATTTTAGCTATTGTTATAAAAATATTTAAGCTGCATAAATTAAATTGCACTAGAAATTTGATTATTTGGAAAATAAGTGTTTTAAGACCAAAACAAGTACTAATAATTCGGTTATAATTGGCTGCAAGTTTACAGTTGCTCATCGGTTTTATATTGCCGCAATTAATCCTCAAATATTCCCAATTTTTAGCTTAGACTCTTCAGCCGCTTATCAACTGTTGTAATTTCATAAGTTGCAAAATTGTTTTATTTTATTTCGGTTATTTTCATTTTCCCACCTTAAAATAAATGTTTGAATTTGAGTATATGTTGATACAAACAAGTAAGATTAACTGCGCTTAAGCACCTGTACGAGATTTGTCTGTTGAAATCTCTAGGTATCTATGCACCTATATATTAAGTACAAAATACTTGAATGAATGTATAAATGTACATACTTAAGCAGAGGTAGCAAACAAAGCTGCAAGCTTAAGATTATCATCGCACACAATCACAAAGTGTGGCAAATATTATCAGCACGTGCGTATAAGCTTTTAGTAATGAGTTTTTGTTTAGCTGGGATTTATGGTAAACACACGCAATCAAATACAGTAGTTACATGTACACATATCTTTTGGTTTCGTTGTTGTGATTCGCTAGATAGTTTGCTGTTGCTGGTTTTGTAAATAGTATACCAGAATTCTACAGCAATTAAACAGTTCGGATTTTAGATGAACTTCGAGGAAAATATTAATAAATTTCTAAATTTCCAGAATTATTGTAAGAGAAAAAGTTTCACATTTTTTGAATATGTGGAATTAAAGTAGCATTGCAAACGATAGCATTGGAATTATTTTCTTAAACTCGTAAAAATGTGTGAAAAAGAATTAAAAAAATTCTATAATTTTGTGAAAGATATAAATTAAATTTTTATTACATACAGATATAAAAACTTATGAGTTGGAAGAGAAACTTGCTCGGGTGTTGTCCCCTGGCAGTCACCTATGAAATGGTTGTCTGCACCTATCAAGCGCAAAAGCAATTCTTCGAAGCTGTTGGCGAAAAAAAAGTGCCCGAAAGAGCTCTGAAGTAGAAAATATTGATTCTGATTCTTCAGTTAAACAGGGAAATATAGTTAAACAGGTTTGTGCAAAAGTAGAGCCAAAGTAGAACATTATATTAAAGCAATGATCGTGTTGCTCCCTCATGGAAATATAACAATAATTGCCTTTTATTTTCTTCCGCGACACAATCTACACAAGTAATGTATGAGCAGATTATGGACCACTTTGGAAAGAAATTCATCGCTGTTGGTGATTATAATGCCAAAAACACCTGGTGGAGCTCATCGCTCGCAAATCCCAAGGCAAAACACTTTTGAAATGTATTTGGAATAAAGACTTGACATGTCAGCAGGCAAGCCAACTTATTGGCCATCTGACCTCACAAAAATTCAAGACATTCTTTATTTTGCTATTTCGAAAGGTCTTAACTCAAGACACATACGCACTTCCATCGGTTTGGACCTTCAATCTAACCACAGCGCAGTTCAGCTAGAGGTTAATACGTCGGTTCTCGCAATGTACAAACCCACAAGTGTTCTTGTCAAAGGGACAAACATTTTATAATTTCGTACATGTCTAGAAAACAATGAGAAAGACAATATCGCCATTTTCTCTGAGTCAAATATTGGTTATGCTTCGGAAGCTTTGACCAGAAGCATACACAATGCTGCCCACGTGTGTACGCCTGTTGCCAACTCCTCACAGAGCAACCACAAGCGGGACAGGCATCTCTGGTCCAATGAAGTAATGACAAAGCTGAGAGAGAAGAGACGTCTTCGGCATGCATTGCAAGTCAGCAGAAATCCATATAACAAAACTCATCCGAACCGTGCTACGAAGGAGCTGAAGAAGATTCTCTGGAAACTTACCAACAAGTACCTAGAGGAGTATCTGGTTGCTGCCAAACCAGTAAATCCAGAAAGCAATCTTTCGAATGCGAAGAGACAAAAGAAAAAGCCTACAACCAGATGTCCAGCAATTATTAACATCAGAGGTCTCTGCTGCTAAACTAAGAAGAAAAAGTCGATGAGTTTGCCACAAATCTTCAAAACACCTTTACCCCTAACAAGCTTAGCTTGCGATGCTAGCAATGCTGAAATCATCAATTTTTTAGACGTTGCTTGTCAGATGGAGCTACCAATCGTTGAAATAGAAAATGTAGAGGTACACGAGAAGATTAAATCCTTGGGAAACAAAAAAAAAACAGCACCAGGTTATGTTATGACAGAATTAATGTACTAGGCTTTAAAAGTACCATAATTAACATTATCTTCAAACTCTTTAATGGTACGCTCAGACTCTGCTATTTACACTCTCAATCGAAATTTGTTGAAATAATTTTGATTCCAAGCTTCTGGTCAATTCATATCGACTCATTAGCCTACTGATAATTAAAAAATTGCGCAAACCTCTGCCTTTGTTGGAGGAGAAACAACTCATCCCGAATTACCACTTTGGTTTCAGAAAGTTTACGGCACAATTGAGCAATGTCATAGAGTAGAACACTTTATACCTGATGATATAGGAAATTATAAATACTCCTGTGCTGTTTTCCTTGATATCCGTCAAGCATTTGATAAGGTCTGGCACCTAGGCATATTAAATAAGTTAAAGAAAAACTTCTCATGCCTTACTACCTGCTGCTAAAGTCATACTTGCATAATCGAACCTTCGAATCGATTGGTGTTGTTATGCTGAGTCGGATCTGAGACCCATACGTGCTGGTGTATCTCAAGGCAGCGTACTTGCGCCTGTGCTCTACATTCCTTTCACGGCTGTCCACTCAGTAATTAACTCTAGCAACACAATTACGGCAACCTATGCGGATAACACTGCACTAAAGGCATGAAGTATCAGTTTTACTGCTGCCTCCAGAAAACTGCAAACGCAATTAACTGCTCTGGAACCGTGGCTCACCTAATGGAACATTGGCATTAATACTGAAAAGTCCGTACAAGTGGTGTAGACCCTCAGGCACGAAATATGTCCACAAGTTGCCTTATATGACCCTGGCCCTTACAATTAATTAGAGACGTACATGGAGGGAACACGTGACAATTAAAAGAATTCAGCTCAGGTTAAGGCCACTCTTATATGAAACGATAATCCGATCTATCTGGTCGTATAGAATTCAAATACGGGGGCGCTCAGCTGACACAAATTTTAAAGTTATTCAAGCTATTCAAATTAAAGTTCTTTGCATTATAGTGGGTGCACCTTTCTATGCTAAAAATGACGTACTCCATACTGACTTAAAAATGCTCACTTTAAAAGAAACTATATAAAAGTTTAGTACTCGTTACCTCTCTCGTTTAGATAACCATGATAACGTACTTGCGATCTAACTGTTGAAAAATAGTCAACAATGTAGGAGATTAAAAAGATATCATCAGTTAGATTCACGGACAAACGGTTGTCTGTATCACCTAAAACTTATCGAGATAGATATCGAGTAATGTATATATAAATGATCAGGTTAACGAGACGAGTTGAAATCCGTCTCTCTGCCCGTCTGTGCAAGCGATAACTTGAGTAAAACTTAATCTTGATGAAACTTGGTACACATGTTACTTGGCGAAGAAGTTAAGACGAGTTCGTAGAGAAAGGGCGTGATCGTGCCATAAACCGTAAATAATGGTACAGAACTCATATTTGGCACAACGAATAACATTGAGGAGGGACACCAGGGGTTTTAAATCTCGACAAAGTGGACATGGCCCCCTAATCAGTTTAATGTATATAATGTATATCCCAAACCAATAAAGCTATGTCACCCAGATTTGCACAGATAGTGTAAAAATAGATAAAATCGGATAATAGCCCGCCTAATCCTCATATACCGGTCTTGTTAAAGACTACTAAAAGTGAGGTAAATGATTAACTAAATGCGTCAGAGACATTGAATTTTACACCCAGGATGGCATCGGTAATATATTGGTGATGCTATATGATCTTAATGAATTTAAGTTAATAACATAAAATTTTGATTGTAATCTATTTACGAATATAAAATTTTCAGAACACCTCAAGGTATTTATCCGGCCTATAGTCTTGCAAATTTCGAGAGTATAAAATGTTCGGTTACACCCAAACTTAGCCCGTCTTTACTTTTAGTTACTATTTGTTGTTATCTCATACAAGTCACTTTATGTTTAATTTTCTCGTATATTTGCAGACTTCATTAGTGCTAATCCCGACTTATTTGCCCTAATGCGTGAGTTTTATTGTTTGCCTACAATATAAGCCTGGCAGCATCAGTTGAAGGTGAAATTTCTATTCATTTTGTGATGTAAAGTGTGTATGAAAATAAGGATTAAACGTATGACTGAAATAGAATGAGTGGAAGCGTTTCCTAATGATTTTATAAGTATAAGATTCGTATGTTTTACATATATTTGGTGTCACTGTAGTAGGAGGATTTTTAGGCAGTTAAATGCTTGTAGATAAAGCACAATATTCATATTTAGTTGTACATATTAAAATGCCATAACTATTTTATTATAATATGTTTTTCAAATATATTGAAGTTTGCATAAATATATTAGCAAAAATCCGATGATACTGAATATTCACTGGTTTCTTGCTTTCACAGAAGTAATCAAATGAAGAAACCTAGGAAGAAATTAAGGGTTAAAATGTTCTAAAAGCTTTTTATAATGAAAAACTCAAATTATATTATTATTATTATTAACAAAAATGCTATTGAAGGAGCTTTGCGGAAAATATTTACTATAAAGTGCTCACCGAAACGAATAAAAAAAGCTTATTAAAAGTGCTCAAAAATTAATTGAATTCTACCGAGTAAATTATAAAATTTACACTTTAGCCCTTCAGTAGAACCGCTGTCATACTATTTGTTACTTTTATAGGCGAATAAATAGAAATGTATGTCAACTAATTATTTTATAGCTACACATATATAAAATATATATATAAATATGTCTACTCTTTTATTCACACAATCATACATACAGGCATCTAAAAAGTATTTGCATACCTCTCTGTCACACTTCCATGACTAACCACATTTCACCCGCAAACAGTCAATCAAACATATTCGAGTCAATTTACTGTCACATACGATTACTCTCTGTGAACTAAAATTTTAAATCGAAAAGTTCTGAAAACACTAGCATGTATATTAGGCATAGAGTGGCTGGTATGTAGCTTAATTTACATGCCAAACTATAAATGACATTTAAAATATCCACCCATCTAACTGTATTCAGCCCAGTCAGTGAAATAAATTGAAGCATTCGTTTGTTGCAAGTTGGCATGTTGCACAAATTAATTGGCAATAAAAGTCGAAAATAGTTGCAATTTTGCAAAGATATGCAAACATGTGAATATTATTTTGAAACGCAAGTCGCAGACTAAATCATACAAGCTGCTTCGAATGCGAGTAGTTTTGTCATATCACAAATGAGTGACAGAATTCGGAAAAGTTTTTTGCTGCACTTAAGTAGTTAAATACTAAAAAATAAATCTTTAAATAAATATTGGGTTGCAAATTTATTTACCAATGGCTCATTAAAGTAAAAAATTGATCACGAAAAGCACTTTTCCTGTAAAACATAGCCAAAAAGTACAAATAAATCTGTACTCATATGGTATCTATAATGTTATTGTTTCGAGAAACTCTCCAGGTCGCTAACAATATTTATTTGCTTTAAAGTAAAACTATGATATCACCATGTATAAATAAGATCCTCAAAAAGAGAGGATCAAAGAGTTCAAATTTCGCTTTAGACTAGATATTTAATTATATCAGCTCTGAGACATGAGGTCGTGGATCGATAATAATATTAAGAATGCATTTTAAGACAGTTAAATATAATGAAATGTTTAAATAATTTTAAACAAGAAACATCTTCAACTACGGTTGCACCAAATCTATACTGCCCTTCACAAATAAAAAGTATTACATTTCAAACTTGATTGTAATCGATCAGTTTGTATGTTAAAGTGGTATAATATCAGCGGTTCTGACAAACAAGCGGCTTAAAAACACGTGTACAAAGCAACAGACAGATATATCAAAGACTGAAGGTCTATTCCGCGTATATACAGACATACAGATGGACAGACAGGGTTAAATCGACTCAGTTTTTCATTTGTTTACATATATATTTTATAATATAGCGTATAAAAAAATATACAAAAATTTTTTAAAAATTTATTTCAGCAGCAGAGCCACAAGTATTTTAATGCCACTATCCACCATGTAATGTTATAGCATTTGTAATATTTCCAAAAAATAAAAATTAAAAATATAAAAAACTGTGTAGTATTGTGACAATTTTAACGATAACAGATGTACATATGTTTCTCATATATAGTATATATATTCATATTTTAAGACAAACAGAGAGATATCTGCGCATATATTTCGCTTTTGGGGACTCCTATATATTTCTAACTATTATATAACTTAGCCTCAAAGCTGTGCTAATAAAATTATATACATTATATTCGGAGTTTGTTGTGTGTATTTATTTCCACCTTCCTTATCACATATACATATATACTTATACATGTTTATTTGTATTGCAGCAGAAATATATGTACAATATGTTCAACCATAAACACCGATGGTGAGTGGCAATTACCAGCTTGTCCGTTGTCAGCCAGCTCACCTCATCCAAAGCGACACATTGCCTGATTGACATTCAGCACATGCAGCATGGCGCTCATCTCCTTGCACTGCCACCATCCGATATACACACACCACAAAAACCAACACGTCTACATGCCACATATGGCAGTTGTTCGTGTGACACCAAATTGCCAACAGTTTGGCATATGCATATGACAGTGTCACAGCTGTTGCTGCATTTGGCATTTGAGCACATTTGCCCGCTAGGCCCAGACTGAATAAGTTTTAATTTAAGCAAAAGTGCTTGCTATGCTTTTTATTTTCAGTTATCCTGTTGTTTTATATATACTCGTATATTCTTTTTTAATATTATGAATATGATATTTCCTCAATTTCTCTTATAGAGTTGGCAGGATTCACGGTCCTCGTTAAGCCATAGTGTGCTTTCGGTATGATTTTGTGTTTAAAAAAAATAAGTCACTTACACTACACAAGTTATAATAGAAAACAGTGTGAACTTTTCACTCATAAAAATAGCGCAAAATGAAGATGATTTTAGAAACGGTTAACGAAATGACATTTTCAAAATTTAATAACTGAATTTTTTATCTAACACAAGGTGCTTCTTGCAATATCTTCTATATTTATGTTTCTTATTTGCTTTCGTTTTACTTTTTTCTTGATAGCAGTTGAATTTCTTCTTCATGAACTATTTTTACTTGTGTCCTTCTCTTTTATTTTCACTCTTCGACGAACTTGCTTGATTACAATGCCAGAAAAAGTTTTCCAGCAATTTTCATACCCACATGCCACATTTATTATTACTTTTCTATTTTCATGCTTCAACACACAAATAAAGGGTTTTCCAATATGAGTGAAATGATTTAAAAAATAAAAAAAAAACAAACACATCTATTGAATTCACCTCATTTTTAGTTGGTCTAACCCTCAAATGACAGCTGTTAAAATTTCATGACATTCTATTTATTTGTATATTTTAATTTTACACTGCTTTTTGGTGGGAAAAAATACCGTTTAAGCGAAACAATGGCGTAAAAAGTATTATGTGGATTCAGCACTATCAGAAACTACAATAAAACGTTGGTCTGCTGACTTCAAACGTGGTCGTAGAAAAACCAATCATACAAAACACAATGGGCGTGCAAATGAGGCTGCAACACCAGAAAACATAAAAAATACACAAATTCTTTCTCAATGATCAGAACGTGAAGTTCCGTGATATAGTTGACATCGTAAGGATTAAAACAAAAACGTCTTGGCTTTATATTTCATGAGCACTTGTCCATGATGAGACTCTGTTCAAAGTGGGTGCCGCGTTTGCCAACTGTGTACCAAAAGCAGCAAAGTGTTGATACTTCTGTGCAGTGTTTGACCATGTTTAAACGTAAAAAATCGGAATTTTTTTTGCTCCCAGCGACTATTGGTTCTTTGCACACCTCAAAAAATGCTCGCCGGTAAGAAATTTCGCTTGAACGAAGCGGTTATCACTGAAAATGAGACTTATTTTGAGGCAAAAGACAAATCGCTCTACAAAAGTGGTATTGAAATGTTAGAACGGCGCTGGAATGATTGTGTTGATGAATAAAGCCAATTTTGAATAAAACAAAAACATAATTTCAGCAGATGTGTTTTACTAGAATTTTATAAAGTGCTAGGCCTATGTTAGTCGTTGTGAAAGAGTGGAGTGCACAATGGATCTTAGATCGCGGTGTAAAACTCACTTTATTTCTATTCTATATACAAGTTTGCCAGCAGAAAAATATATTTTCCAACTAGGCTATTCAAAATCAAAATAAACAAAACTTTTACACTCGGTTGCTATCGTCGCTTTCATACTTCTTTCTTCTATTATACGTGTTCTTTTTTTCTTTCCAACTTTTCGTTTCCTTTCCGGGATATTCGTTTTTGTTCATCAAACTAATCAACTTTTTAATATTTTATTTGACTACTAGGTTTTATTTACTTTTCTAAAGCAAAAGCAAAAACCGGTTAAAGTCACGTTTTGGTGTGTTTATTGTGGTTGTTATTGCTGTAGTAACTTCTCCAAACCACCGTTGCATGACATTATTGCGGTCAGTGAGTGTGGGAAAACGCAGCTGATCAAAATAAAAAGGCTTACGAGGGTGGATCCAAATGCTGCTAACTCAAAAATACACAAACACGTATGCAGAAAGTAAGTAAAAAATTTATTACTTGGTTAACCTGAGAAAAAACCAAACCTAAAGGTGCTAGGTGAGCGCGAAGACTGGTGCAAAATATTAACCGCTTACTCTGAAATTTTCACCAAACTTTCCCTAGGCTTAAAAATTATTCAACGCACCCTCACATTATGCGCTTTCTATCAAAGCCTAGCTACTCTTTGTGAGCAAATAATAAAAAATACATGTCTGACAACTTTAAACGAAGATATAACATATAATTATTGAAAATTATTTTGCAATTAGCTTATTTGGTCACGCAATAAAAGGGCTGCGAACCGAGATCTTTTGCAGTTCAAACTTATCTATCTTCATGTCTGCATAGGTCTATTAGTGTGCGTGTCGTTAATTTAAGGTTGTCGAAATTCAAAAAGCGAAAAACATATATTATATATACGTTTTACCTTTTTATTGCTGCCCTTATATTAATATTTTCACATGTGGGTGTTCTTATTGCAATTATTTTTCAATTAGTCGCAAATAAAAGTATGGCATTCAAACGCACTACCGAACTATAAGATTGAACCTTGAGGTTAATTTGGTTATGAGTAAAGCGTTTGAAAGTAGTAAAATCTAATATTAACCGGCTCCAACAATGTTTTTTAAGGCATGCATTTTCAGATAGACTGTACTGGGTTTGCTTTTATATTGTTTTTATTACAGAATGTAAACGCTTTGTAGTTGTTGCACTATTTAAATTAGAGTCCCAAAAC